GACCGAGTCCTGAGAGTCCAGACTCACCTGCCAGGGCCAGGAACCAGCAGGAGCATCCTGACCCCCCACAATCCTCAGGTGCCTCTGAGGGTTCAGGGGGGCCACGCCACAAACTGAAGGTAAACAAAAAGATTACAGGTAAACAAACAGGTTACAGGTAAACAAACAAACTGAAGGTAAATAAACAGATTACAGGTAAACAAAGAAACTGAAGGTAAACAAACAGATTACAGGTAAACAAACAAACTGAAGGTAAATAAACACATTAAAGTGAAACAGGCTGTAAAATAATTAAAATGATGAAAGAATAAAAACGTCTGAAGATAAAACTCACCGTTTAACTGAGTTAACTCCTGAGAAAGAAACAAAAGTTTAAAGACACTTTGTTCTGATTTAAACAAGAACAGAAACTAAAAGTTATTGTTAATGGAAGCTGGGACACATTTCAAAATAAAAGCTTCAGGTTGTTYCTGTTTGAAGAACTTCCTCTGGGTCAGAACTTTTACCTCCTYGTAGATAAAAGGTGAGGCTCACCTGGGTCTGTGAGGACCAGCAGGACTCCACAAATGAAGACCCTCATGGTGGGATTGTGGTCTTCAGTCCACATGCAGCAGAAACAGAGTGCAAGAGGTTTTATTGTGGAGATGTTTGTGTGTGTGACCTGCAGGGTTCTGATGGTGAACTTTAAAACCACCAGCACTGTCAGACGGGTTCTGTTTACCAAACAGGAAACAGCAGCTGAGCGTGTCGTGTATGTGATCCAGAGCAGCCGAACGTTTGACCCAGTTGGTCCACAGTCTGCAGTCTTATCACCTGTCAGGTGTGTGTGTGTGTGTGTGTGTGTGTGTGTGTGTGTGTGGGTGGGGGGTATGGTGGGCCGAGTGTAAAAGATCAATGGAAAATAAAATTACTGCACTYTCTTCACATTTAATGCATCTTCCTAAGAGGGTAATGCTAAATATAAATGTTAAATTCATACATGCATTATATCTGTATCTGTATTTATACATTAAATCTATTTCTGATTCCTATATCTGTATACAATATTTTATATCCAAATCTTAAATTTATATCTAAATCGTAAATCTAAATCAAAATGTGTATATTTGATCTAAATCTTGTATTTAAATATATGCAGTAGCTTACTTCACTCTAAATGCCTGTCCCAAATCTTATATTTAAATACTGTATAGATCTCAAATTTTTAATCTAAATGTTAAATCTAAATATAAA